TTGTTATTTATAAGAAACACATTCGAAGCAGAAAGACACACACACACTGTCAAAATAAGGGGCTGGAGCAAAATCCATTATGCTTCTGCTGAATTAGGAGCAGTGATGGCAGTCATGATCTCAGGAAAAACAAAAGCAAAAATAGACCTAAAAGAGAGAATCAAGGAAACTACACTTTGCTGAAAGATACCGTAGACAGTGAATTAATATCCTGAACATATATGCACCAAATGGCCTAGCATTTTTCAAGCAACAGTTACAGAAGGAAATAAACAGTAGAACTATAATAGTGGGGGAACTTCTATTCTTCTCAGACCTAGGTAGTCATAAAATAAGAATGAAGTTGAGTTAATAGAATTTTAGAAAAGTTAAGTCGGATAGCCTTTGGAGAATATTGAATGGGAATAGAAAGGAGCGTCTCTATTTCTCAGATGTTCATAGAACCTTAAAAAAAACTGCCCATATATTAGGGCATAAAAGTCTTACAAGCAATTACAGAAATGCAGAAATATTAAGTGCGTCTTTTTCCTGACCATAATACAATAAAATTATATTCAATAAAGCATAGATTAAAAGTTAATTGGAGACTAACATAATCCTAAACACTGGATGGGACAAAGAACAGGTCATGGGAAACAGCCAGTAATTTCATCAAAGATGATGGCAACAATGAAAGAACATACCAAAAATTTGTAGGATACAGCCAAAGCAGTACTAAGGGAAAATTATATCTGTAAGTGCTTACATCAAAAAGAGAAAGAGCAGATCGACAAATTTGGTATGCGTGTTACACACACACACACGCACACACACACACACACACACACACACACGCACACACACACACCCCTCGACATCCCACAAATTAAAATCCCTAATTAAAGGACAAAATAGAATCCTGAAAATTAAAGGAGAGATGAAGAAATTGAAAGTTTTTTAAAAATTGAAATAAAAGTAGGAACCAATTTTTTTTTTTTTTAAATTGGGCAATGGGGGTTAAGTGACTTGCCCAGGATCACACAGCTAGTAAGTTTTATGTGTCTGAGGCTGGATTTGAACTCAGGTCCTCCTGAATCCAGGTCTGGTGCTCTATCCACTGCGCCACCTACCTGCCCCAGGAACCAATTTTTTAAAAGAAAACATAAACAGTAAAATAGCTAAACCATTGGCTAATTTGATGTAAAAAAGAGAAAGAAGAAAACCAAATTGCTAGGATCACAAATGAAAAAGGTGTATTTGCAACCAATGAAGATGAAACAAAAGCATTTGTTAAGAACCTTATAATGCATGCCAATAAAACTGACAATCTAAATGGAATGGGTGACTATTTACAAAAGTATAAGTTGCCCATTTAACAGACCCAGAAATAGAAATAACTATCTTAGAAAAAGAAATTAAGGGAGTCCATAAATGAACTCTTTAAGAAAATATGCAGGATCAGATGGATTTACAAGTGAATTTTACCAGACATTTAAAGAACACTTAATTCCAATACTATATAAACTGTTTGAAAACGGAGTCCTTATCAGATTGCTTCTATGACCTCAACATGGTCTTGATGCCTTAAGCAGGGAGGGTCGAAATAGAGACACATAAGTATAGCCCAACTCTTTCTCTGAGTATTGATGGAAAAATTGAAATGAAATAAATAAAATACTAGCAAAGAGATTACAGCACAATCTCACAAAGATCACGCACTCTATTTATGCCAGAAGTGCAGGACTGCTTCAGTATTTCCGAAGCTATAAGCATAATTGACCACATCGATGACAAAAACAATAAAAATCACGTGATTTTTCCGCAGATGCAGAAAAAACCTTTGAGAAAATGCAATATGCAGTCTTGTAAAAAACAACAACAATAGAAAGCACAGGCATAAATGGGGCTTTCCTTAAAATGATCAATAGTATCTAAAACCAAGGGCAGGACTTGTCTGCAGTGGGCACAAGTTAGGCGCATTCCCAATGAGATCAGGGTGAAGTCTCGTGTCCATGATCATTGTTATCGTTTGGTGCTGTACTGTAGCAGTTAGGCGAGGAAAAATGTGAAGGGATAAGCACAGGCAGTTAGGAAACAAAGCAGTCACCTTTTGCAAATGATAGGATGGTTTGCTTAGAGGACCCGGGGAATCAACTGGAAATCGAATCAAAACAATTGATAACTTCAGCAAAGGAGCGGATATAAAATAAACTCAACACAAGCCATCAGTAATTCTGTATATAACCAGTATAGCCCAGCGGGAAGAGACAAATTCCATTTAAAATAACTGTGGACAGTATAAAATACTAGAGAGCTTATCTGCCAAGACATGCACAGGAACCATTAAACACAATTACAAAACACTTTCATGCAGATAAAGATAGATTTAAATAATTGGAGAAACATTGTTTGGTCATGAATAGGCTGATACACTAAATAATGACAATACTTCCTAATTAGTTTATTTATCTAGTTCTGTATCAATCCAACTACCAAAGAATTACTGTGTGGAGCTAGGAAAAATAATATAACAATTCCTTTGGAGGAACAAAACTTCCAGAATATCAAGTTGATCGGTGAAAACAATGAGAAGGACGGGGGGGAGCAGCCATGTCTCAAACTATTCTGCAAAGTTGTAATCATCTGAACGCTTCAGTACTGAGTAAGAAACAGAGTTCATCAGTGGAACAGATGAAGTACAAGATGTACAGAAGCAAACGAACACAGTAACCTAGTGTTTGACAAAGCCAAAGATCCCAGCTATTGGGACAAGAATTCACTGTTTGATAAAGGCTGTTGGGAAAACTGGAAAGTGGTCTGGAAGAAAATAAGTGTAGACCAGTACATCACACCATCTACCAAGATAAGCTTAAAATGGATATGTGATTTAGATACAAAGATACCATAAGCAGGTGAGTGAGGCCTGGAAGATCTATGCATGGGGGAAGAGTTCATGATCAAATGAGGTGAAGAGCTCTGTTCATGGGAAGTAAAATAGATAATTTGCATGACATAAAATTTTATAAGTTTTTGCACAGCCAAAAACCATTGAAGCCAATATTAGAAGAAAAGCAGGAAACTGGGGGTGGGGGGGCAGGGAATATTTGCATCCAGTTTCTCTGAGTAAAGTCATATCTCAAATTTATAGGGAACCGAGTCAAGTTTATGAGGAGCCATTCCCTAATTGATAACATCAAAAAAGGATATGAATAAGTAGTTTTTCGAAGGGAATAAAACTGAGTATCGATTGCCATTTGTGAAAAAGTGCTCTAAATCACTAGTAGAGAAAGCCAAATTAAAACAACTCCAGGGTACTATGTCACCCCCATCAGATTGGCATAGTTGATCAGGAAAATGACAAATGCTGGTGAGATTATGGGAAAATGGATACTAATAGACGGCTGATGGGGCTGTTACCTACTTCAGCTATGGTGGAAAGCAGATTGGAACCGTACCCCCAAAAACCATGTCTTGGACCCAGAAATCCCTCTACTAGGTCTGTACCCCAGAGAGATCAAAAAAAAAAGGACCCGCATGTACAAAAGTATTGATAGCTTTTTTTTTTGTGGTGGCAAAGAATTGGAAATTGAGGGGATGCCCATCAATTGGGGAATGTCTGAACAAGTTGTGGTATGTGATTGTGATAGAATGCTACTGTGCTATAAGAAATGACAAGAGGGGTGGTTTCAGAAAAACCTGCAAAGACTTAGATAAATGAATGCTGAGTTAAGTGAGAAGAACCAGGAGAACCTTGTACACTATAACAGCAACATTGTAACAATGATAAACTGTGAAAGACTCAGCTCTTCTCAGGGATACAATGATGCAAGACAATTCCAGTAATTGGAAAGGACCAGTAATGAAGCTGACTTCCGCCTCCAGAGAGAGAAGTGGTGGACTTGGAGCCCAGACTGAATTGTGTTTTTTTTTCCTCTCCCTTTCTTTTTCTTGGCTCCCCCCTCCCCACCCCGGTGTGTTTCTCTGTGTCTCTCTCCCAGTCTCTTGTTTCATCTCTCTTCTCTCTGTTTCTCTCTCTTCTCTCTGTCTCATCTCTCTTTTCTCTTTATCTCTCTTCTTGCTGTCTCTCTTCTCTCTCTGTCTCTGTTTCTCTCTTCTCTCTCCTCTCTG